GAGTTTGTCACCGCCTTCATTCATTATTATTCTTAAAAGTTTATTGACAATAATATGCACTTTTAGTCTGTTCAGTTATTTTTGTTCGCCAAGGTCACATAATGACTTGAACTTCAATATGTATTCATTATAGATGGATTATAGTTGAGGTGAAATTTCAAAAACTAAAAAGCACTGAATATCTGTTTCGTCCTATTATAGGTCTCTTCGGTGGTGCTCACACACACACAATTTGACACGGCATCTTTAGATCTCACAATAAACGCTTACTCATCAAACTATCGGATCGGTTTCTAATGCTACGATCCCAACATCAATTAATTTGCTATATAAGGCAACGACTAGGTGCATTCATCTATTTTTTTTATTTAAACATATAAACATAGACACAACGCGGCACCAAAATATATGTGTGCCGATCAATAAAATTGAGGTTGTGAAGGGATAGAGAAACGGAGGTGAGCATAATAAGAAGGAGAATAGAAATGAAAAGGAGTTAGTGTGTGAGAATAATAATAACAATAATAATAATAATAATAATAATAATAATAATAATAATAATAGGGGGAGGGGGAACAGTTCAGTTAAGAAAAATACAATCAGAAAGGATTGTTTTCAGTGAATAAAGTTTCTCTCACCTAGATGAAGAAAGTAAAAGAAAGTTACAGCAGGATTGCGACTGGCTTCTATTCTGAGCCATAATTTCTGATGTCTAAAAAAAGCTGAGACGTACCATCTCTAGGATTCCAACCAGGGAGTCGTAAAGCCGTAGTTATGGTTCGTGATCGACAGCCTTCAGCTACGGTTTCCCATTAAAACCAACAAGATCAGCATCAATGTCGAAAATCTTCAAACTATTTATTTTAGAGAGTGTTTTTTTTTACCGCTATACATGATTTAAACTCGTCTTTCAACTACTTTGGTAGATATCACTGTGAGGTTGTGGAGATTGAGATCATGAATCGATCAGTGTTAGACCACCATTCAAAACCTGGAAGCACTGGACGACTCTTCAACGGTAATCATCTACGATCCCGCACACAGGACCCATCGGCCTCACGCGTGAACGCTTAATCTCTAGACCACTGATCCAGCATCCAACGGTATTAACGTCTAACTTCGTCCAGTACACAAAAGTAAGACACTAACACCGTTGGATGTCGAATCGGTGGTCTAGAGATTAAGCGTTCGTGCGTGAGACCGATAGGTCCTGTTTTTGAGTCCCATGTGCGCAGTCGTAGATGATTACTGCTGAGGAGTCCCATACTATGACGAATTGGCCGTCCAGTGGTTCCAGGTTTTCCATGATGGTCTAGTTTCAATTGAATCGTGATCTCAACTATTAAAATTACTACAATATCCACGAAAACCCCTTCTGATATTAAAAATATCTGTGTGAAAAACGGCTACGTCTATTATGGTTCCCGGTTGGGTTGAGTTAATTGCAAATCAAAGAACAGTTGAGCTATTCTAATACGAACAGTCCCATTGAGGACTCGATAATGGCAGCTGGCAAAAAACACTTCGACAGTTCCCTGCTAACACAAGACGAGAACGAAATGTAAGAAAAAAGATAATATCCTAACAGGACAACCTGAAATGTTACGATTTTGTACATGTATTGACGAAAACATAAATTTTAATCATGCGGAAAGGTAAGCGAATTAAAAGTAATGGCAACCAATCACAAAAGGGTATGCCAAAAAAATGAACTAGAAAAAAAAAGAATCACTGGTGGTTAGCGTTCCTGGTTGGATTTTAATACAATTAATTCCGTAGTAGCAGTCTTAGTGGACTTATATTCAACAATTGTTAGTTTTCTTTGCTTAAAATTCATTTCATTCCTGTCTACTTAACATAATGAGAACGAATGATCATAAATGCTCCTTCTTGCCTTCGCCCTCCTTTACCTCAAAAAAGGAAAAAAATGATTACCCCCCGGCAATTTCATCAAAAAAAAAGTTCAGTGAATCGACCAACCATCATAAAATAGACTTCAGAAATTAGGAAATGAATAATTCTACCACATATGAACAATTTCATGTATATAGTTCCTTTTGAAAAAGTTTGAAAAGAATTTTTATTAGACCACCATTGAAAACCTGGAAGCACTGGACGGCCGCTTCGTCATATTGTGGGACTCCTTAGCAGTGCGCATCCATGACCCCGCACCTAAGGGATTCGAACCCAGGGCCTTCAGTCTCGCGCGCGAACGCCCACTAGTGACTAGCTTCGTGAGGAAATTCTCGGAGTTCTGGTGAGAAGCCGTGAATAGTGGAGATAATCCGTGTCGGGTAGGTATAGGTGTCTACAATGGAAGATGGTCGCGCAACTTCTTGGATTGGTTGGGGTTAGACATTAACACCATTGGATGCCGGCTCAGTAGTCCAGTAGGTTAAGCGTTCGCGCGCAAGACTGAAGGCCCTGGGTTCGAATCCCTTAGGTGCGGGGTCGTGGATGCGCACTGCTAAGGAGTCCCACAATATGACGAGGCGGCCGTCCAGTGCTTCCGGGTTTTCAATGGTGGTCTTACATCAATCGGTTCATGATCTCAATAAAAAACTTAACAATCTCCACAACCCCTAAACTGAGAATCTTTGTTCTTGCTCTTTTCGAATTAATACAGATGATAAACTATCATGCCATAGGGTAGTGTGGTCACACATATATATGAAGAATACTTAAACTAATCAAGAAAGTTTGCGATTAAATGATTGTAATGATGTATATTACATAATGAAACACAATAAGTCAAAAGTAAACTATGATATCATAATTACTAATAAAAAATAGTTTACCAAGTTACTAATGGGATATGAATAATTGCTAGACAATTGTGAAGAAATTCTAATAGATTAATTGTTTTGAAGCTTATGTGTTAATGCTTAGGAACAACACTGAAGGCTTTATATATAGTTTATCTGCATGGAGAACAAGTGTAGGCTACGAATATTTCTCATTATCCTAAAGGTTATTTTATTTAAATCTTCGACTATTAATAAGGGTTACTGATCTCCCATTATTTATATTCTAGACTTTAATTGTTCGTGTCTTCTTCCTATACGTGTATCTTGAGTGATTGTTTTGACATACTATTGTGTCACAAGTCTTAGTTATGTGGCTACCAGTGGAGTCCAGGACGAGAGTTTTACTTCGTTTGTAACTTATCAATTGGATGTACCTGCAAACACTGTCGGTGTTCACTCGAACCAAACACTCTCAGCTTTAAATCTCATGTTATCCACTGGTACATTCAACAGACGACTCCAAAACAGGACAAAATGGGCGTCCTGGATTCCACTGCTAGCCACAGTGCGTTTGTTGTGTAAAACTGGTGTAAACATAGCTATATCAAGAAAATTAGGACAGAATACATATATGCCAACAAAGACCAAACAAAATTCTATCGTAAATACCATTTGTAATGTGATCCAAGCACTAATTAATGATTATAAAGCTCGTGCCTATTTGTAATGGTTGACTGAATCTTTCGATCGATGTTTAGAACTGCAATTGGCCATTCTGATTTTTGACATATATGCATTCTGTGTGGATTGCCTCGAAATTACCATTAAGTCACAAGCATGATATGCAAGAATAGACGGTAGCTAGCAGTGGAATCCAGAGGCGAGTTTCGTCCTATTTGGGACTCGTCGTCTGGATGTATCTACATTCCAGAGTTGGTGTTTGCTCTGGGACTCCAATTGAGATTACTGAGATTTGCAGCGATTTTATTTTATGCGTACTGGCACTCGTCAAGTAGAACCACGTAGTGAGCAACAGTCTTGTCCCACTATGGGACTCATCAGCAGCAGTAAGCACACAGCCACGACAGAGACCGAGTCCGTAACTTCCTGTCACGACAGTGATGTCCTAATATCTAGACGATTGAATCGTAATCTAGTGATTAGAATTGCCAGTTCTAGTCAACTCATGCTATAGTGCTGTTGGGGAGCCCTTGAATTGAGTCTAATTACTATGGTAAATCGTTACAAGTTACTCCGTATGCCAAATGACTCAGGCACTGTTCATACCATTATCACCAGTATTCGAATTAATGGTTGAAATACGGAAAGTTGCTGACACTTTTTTAGTAATGATAATAATAACGCTTTATTACCAGAGAAGTAAAGTACACTGTATACCTTTCAAACAATGAAGTGGCTGCTACTAAGTTCCCAGGAATATAATAAACGTGTACACTTTTTTTCGTGGTTCATATAAATGTTCAAAAGAGGCGATGGACAAGGCTGGTAATAACAAACTCAAATCCTCTGACAGGTAGTGAAAAGCAGTTGTTTATATAAAACGACGCATAGCACCATTGGTGGTTAACCTACAAATACACGTTAACTCCATTCAACATAGTACAGCCCAGATTGAAGACCACATTCGTGAGTCAATTCTTATGGAGAATCGTGCAAATTATCATGCTGACCGTACATGCTAATCCAGACTAACCAATAGAAATAATGGGCGTTACCATGACATTCACAATCCAGTTTTAACCAATTAAAACTCAATGTGAGCTATTCGGATACGAAATGAACAATGAAGACACGCATTTAACTGCAGGCTTTCCTTTGAGCTAGGGGAGTGGGTCAGATAATATGGGTAACGAATCAAAATTTAGAGTTGAGGTACATGTTGTGCTATCTTCCTGTCTGACTGTATATTGTATGTGTATCAATATATGTCATGTATATATATTGACTGTGTGATTGTTTGCATGTGATTGTTATCTGTCTGTTACATGTGTACATGTGATTGGGACAGTCAATTTGGCCTGTGAGAATTGTTAGTTTTATTATTCTTGTCCTGACCAAAGAATTTTTTGGGCGTGAAATTCCGAGGTTTTTTGCGTCACCAAGGTGGTTTTTTTTGCTGCTTTCGCTTCTGCGACATTTATTTGTCGCTTCAAAATCTCATCTCAGGAGTAATCAATCATTACAACTAAGTCGTGAATTAACAAAATCAATTAGGATTAATTAATCTGTACAATGATGATGATGTTGGATCATCATTCCACTGAACATCATAATGGTTTAGATCCGAAATCCGATACAGATATTGGGATAGTTAATTCTAACATATTATGTGAATCTAGACGACCAAATTCTAATATTCCTAAAGTAAATGGAGATTTCACACATAATACTTTTCATTCTTCACCAACATATATTTATCCACTTGATCGACATTCCGCTCCAGCATCCACAAATAAATCAATCTCACGTCAAATAACACCGAATGATTCGTGCCATGAAAGTACTTTACGTTTGCACGGTAAGTCATTGTTTCCATTTTATTTTTATGGGACGATATATATATATATATATATATATATCAAAAGAACATTCAATAAAACGACTAATTTTTAGTGTTGCTATGACTAACTGTTTGACTGAATTATTGAAATACTGGGTACACTTTTGAATATATTCGATTGTAGTTTATTATATTTTGTGTTTATAGTAACAAAATTATTCCTAAATATCAACTGTCACCATTACGTTCTATGCGACACTTAACTACCAGAGTTGTTCACTAGAGATCTTACAAAGTTCTTCGTCGTTCATAACTGATTAACTTTAGATTATCTCTAACCTTCAAGTAATGAATATGGGACATAACCTATTATATAGAGATGTAATTCATCAATGAATGACCAACTAATTGATACACTAATTCGTTCTGGAAATGAAGGTGTCTATATAAAATGTAGGTCCGCAGCTATCAGTTAAACCATTGAATCCCCTACCATCATTATTTTATTTATTTATTTGAACACATAAATATTGGTACAAGAGAGCGCCAATATATATGCGCCACACAAAACAATGAGATTTCGAAAAGAAAAGAAAAAAAAAGGGTAAGGAGCGTAAAAAAAAGAGAACAATAACGAAGAGATTGGTGTAAGGTAGTGTGGTAGTAATGAGGGAACGGAAAAGTACAATCGGAAGGAATCTTTCAGGTAAGGAAGAAGCAACCACTTTTTATGAAGAAAGTAAATTAAGGTTACAGCAGGATCGCCACTGGCTTTTATTCTGAGCCATATCTGATAACGTCTCTAACCACTGTGTAGCACCATCTCTCGGACCCCAGTCAGGGAGTCGTGAAGGACCAACAGAAGCCAGTCCTTTGCAGCTTTCTTTCATGCCACGACACCATGTCATGCACGGAACACCGCTCCGCTTCTTCCAACCAGTCCCAGAGTCGGCAAATAATGCACGACGTGGAACACGATGCCGTGTGTTCGGGCACATCAACTATCACATTTAGAATGTTTACTTAAATCCACTTATATTCATCTGCATCTGATTACAGTAAATGTGTTTCATCATAAAGTGTTTACAATAACTGTGTACGATTCTCTATCATAGACTGTGAATTCACTGATCTTTTACTATTCACTCATAGACAATATGTTTCATGTATCTGACTGAGCTGATACACATCACATAATTATAGTGGGAGCAACTAACATAACATAAAAATGACAGTTTCTTAGATGAAGGGATAAATACGGAAAATATGAAATAAATCCATGATAAAACAACTTCATTTATACCAATTTCAAAGGACAATTGAATACATTTGCCGTGATGTATAGATTACTGAAGTGATATGTGTATTCCGTATATCTCCAAACTAAAAAACTTCCATTTCTGTGCTCATTTTGGTTAATTTATAATAAAAAAAGAAGAAACATTCACCGGCTAGTGTGTTTACTTGTACAATCGATTGATTGTATGTTTGTCTTTAGATGATAATTTAACATGCCTAAAAAGTTTTCAGTTTTTTTTTTTTTATAATCATGTTCTTTGCCTTATTCTCACCAGCAAAGGAAATGTAGGTTACAATCGTATACATAAATCTGTAGGTGATAATGGAGTTAAATAAATTAGAAATTCTGATAGATCATGTATGTTTCGGTTAACAATGCATGATCTATGTAAATAATGAAGTAACTTTTACAGGAAAAAAATATACATTTCCTGGGTAATAAATAGTTACCAAGAATTAAAAATGCTAATGTAACTAGGTATTGGTTTTTTATACGTGTGTGTGTGTGTTGTCGATATGGTCACTGATTGATGAGAACAAAATTTATTAATAATATTTTCCTCACTTTCAATCTCATATTTCAGTTTATTACTGTTAAGATATTTGGTGTTATATTAAAAGCGATCAGTTTTCAGAATGACAGTATACCGATACTTTGAAGTTGTCTGGCATGCACTCTTTAAATTTATTAGTTTATTAAATATCCGGCGCTTTAACCGGGTTGGTGGACATGGAGAGTTGGAAAACCCTGATTCCAAACCAATTCTCCACATGGGCTCCAGGATCCTGAAGGAACAAATGGCGTATGAACCAATCGTTGGTAACCGGTTACCATGGGATTGCATCTCTTGACGTTTCTCCACTGCCTTGTGGATCAGACCTCCAGGTCGCAGGCTCCGGATGTGGCCCTCTAAGAAAACCACGTGCTTCGGTTTGAGCACCCGAGCAGTATCACAACCCTCACACATATCAAATGAGATCTGTGTGGTGCATATATATTTGGTGCCTCTTTGTACCAATATTTACGTGTTAAAATACATAAATAGTTTATTAAATATGATCATAGTTGGTTACTTGTACATACTGAAATGTATACAGTTTGTTATTTTTGCTTCTACGTTGTAGTTCCTGTATTCACAACCGTTAAATTATGTCCCATAACTCCACTTCAGTGCTAGATGGTTTCAGGTAGTGGTCATTAAACAATGTATATGTGGTTTGATGCTACTTGATATTCGTCACCATAGAGTACCTGAAATGTTAAAGTAAATTATGTTCTTAATGCAATTCTTAGCCTTGTCATTCAGTTTTACAGTTTGAGACGTTGCTATTATGATATTCTTCCAACGAATGACTTATTATAAGGCTAAGGTATTAAGACTGATTGGTCACTAGCTTTACTCCAGTTGTGTATGACCAATTAACTGGTTATTTTATGATAAATGTACAAATGCTGTTACTTGATAGTTTTGATTTGTGTGTTTGTGTAACAAGTATCAGTTATTGGTTGTTAGTACATACGCAATATTATAAGTCAGTCAGTCAGTCGGCTTAAACTGAAATCCTAATCAAGTTTATCTGAATATAACATGTAATTCGCTTGTCAATTCTGCTTGGTTTTTTTTTCAAGCTCTGACCTCATACCTGTTCTGCATCCATAATTTTTTTAGACTCGATTTTTCTTAGTCGAAAATCGTACTCTGTTTCAGTTCGCATTAGTTGAATAATATATCGATAGTATAATAGTAGTTCTCTATCAATGCTAACCGCTGTTGGAGATGGTTGGAAGAAAGTTAGGGGCGGCCAAACCAAAACGTGACATCAGTGTTTGAAGTCACTAACTTCTAGTCTGAGCCATGTTGGTAGATGCAGACTACTTGGTTGTGGTCCGCGTGACAATCTTAACCAATGGTTGGAGACTCTTGGTGACATGGCTCAGAACCGGTCGCAATGGCGTCGGTGTATACACTCTGTCTTCCCTTAAACTATGAAATTAAAATTGCTTCATAACTTTGTTTCTACGTACTCATTATTTCTTCGTGTTCTATATCCTTATATGCAATCTTTCTTTTATATATTACCACCTTTGAATTAACACTACTTTTATGAATCCGGTGTTGATCTTGTGTTAATGAGGTATGGCAACTTGGACCGATACATAAATGTACCTGATCCTACATTGTAGCTGACTGACTGATTTTTGATGTAAAATAAAAATTCTTTCGTTTCCTATTGAAGAATTGCGACCGAACTATATGAAGTTTAATGGGATGGAGTTTCCTATGTTCCAATGACATCATTTTAATGTATATGAATATTTATGACTAGAATTTAGGAAAACACCTCAGCTACCATAAGTCAATGGGTTATTAGTTCTATGTCTAATTAAGAAGGTTTTTCAAATAATTTTTTGCAGATTATTTAAAATCAACATAACTCGTTTACAAAGTGTGGGTTTATTAGTCAGTCAGTCAGTTACAACGTAGGACCAGGCACATATATGCATCGGTCCAAGTTGCCATACCTCATAAACAAAACAAGATGAACACCGAATTCATAGAAGGAGTTAACTCAGTGGTGGTAATATATAAAGAGAAAGATTGTAATGAGGATATAGTATATGGGTTTATTAACTCAGGTTTAAGCTGTAGTTTTTTGTATGTTAAAGAATTACTGATGCTGTCCATTTGCCCGAACGAAAATAAATACCATTTGGTTCAGATCCACGAAATGTTGGTTGTAAGCTGAACATGCTAATCACTAAGACACAGTTACACATCAATATGTACACTGCATTAAAACTATATGGAAAATAATAAAATGCAGGTTTTCTGACTATTTTTGTATTCGTTGAATATTTCGATATCCTTGACCATAATTCATTCAAACGGCCTAGAACCCTCTGATTATTCAAACATAATATAAATGGGGTTCAATTTATTTATTTTTTTTTTTCATACTCCATTGACCTGAACATTTACAGGTCATGTACAAGGGTCTTATTCATTTTTTTTTCTTCTAGAATTTATGATGTGTTGACCGTAGTCAAACTTATAACCCAACCATTTCATTCATATGCGTTTCTTTGTTGTCCCATTTCTAATTTTTGCCTCTTCCCTCTTTTGTCTTCTTTCTGGTGACCGATTTCTATTTATAAATATATGTCTTTATTCATTTGAACTATGTATACAATTATTGAATAGTGCCTTTGTTCGTCATTCTATCTATCTAGGAGGAATCTTTGTTCTAATTCCCTACCCTGTTTTTTTCTTCATTGTTGAAGTGCTGAATTAATCCACATTGCATTAAAATATTGTATGAGTCAAACCGGTTAATCAAATCCCTGCCCTCAGAATAATCAATATATTGGTGTATATATATATAGACATTAATAGATGTGCGCGCGTGCGTGCGTGTGTATGTTTTTTTTTTAAAATTTAACATGGCAATTGTCTAACATTATCATGGTTTTGTGATGTAGTCATAGATTGATTCCGACCAATCGAGGTCAAATTCACCATCTGGTGAATGTCAAATTGTGTATTTGAGATGATGAACAGACTGAACTGTGTTATCTTTTTATCATTCAACTTATACTAATGTTTTTAGACTAACTATTCAATGTAAGTTTTGTACAAAGTAAACATTAATTAGTGAGTTGGAGAATTAGGAGAGTAATGTGGCTACCGCGGTGTATATTGGGAAAATAACCATCAATT